CTCAAAATTATTAGACTCGGTTGTCAGAGGTTGGCCTATTGTGGAAGAATGGCTGGATAAACAGGGCCATGGGTCCCTTGAAATGTTGTACAAGCAAACCCCATGTTGGCTTGACATAACTAGGCTGCACGCCACGATAAGGAAATTGCAAAGTGTGCTGTGTTATGCTGACAAGGTCGAAAGGGCAAGGACAGCAGTAAAAATGAAGAAGAAAAGAGGGTTTGCAACATAAAAATAGAAAGTAAAAGCAACGAGAATGAGGAAGAACCCTGTGTTAGAAACCACAAAGGAAGAGGAATATGTAATATAACTTTTTGCTTTAAACCAATGAACTAACGATGAGTATGCATAATTACTAGAAACATATAAAAGTACCGTTGTACTCAAAATAAACTGAAGCTTGCTTTACCAATCATATTAACTGATTGCTTGTCTTCCTTTGCCACTGTCAGCCTACTTGTCTCCAAGCAGTAGCTGCCACTGTAGTTCTCCTAGAAGAAGGTTACAGGTTAACATTAGGTAACAAAATCAAGGTATATACTCCCCATGATTTAAAGAGCATTGTAAGTAGAAGAGCATGTCAGTGGATTTCAGACAGTAGACTTTTAAAGTATGAACTGATTTTAAATAACAGTGAAAATATAGAATTAGCTACAACAAGAATTCAGAACGCTGTGCAATTCTTATATGGAGAACCAAAGGAAGAATTGGAACATCACTGTCTCAAAACTATAGATTTACAGATAAAAATCAGAGAGGATCTATTAGAACAACCTTTGTCTGAGGGAGAAATACTTTTTATAGATGGTTCATCACAAGTAGTTGATGGGAAAAGAGTATCAGGATACGCCATAGTAGATGGATATACAATGACAGTTGTGGAAAAAGGAAAGCTTCCTGTGAATTGGTCTGCAGAGTGTTGGGAGATTTATGCACTATTAAAAGGACTGAAATGGTTGGACAAAAAGAATGGCACTATATTCACTGATTCTAAATACGCTTATGGGGTAGTACATACCTTTGGGAAAATCTGGGCAGAGAGAGGATTTGTTAACTCAAAAGGAAAAACCTTGATTCATGAAGGCCTCATAAGAGCAGTGCTAGAAGCTCTGAAAAGGCCTAAAGAAATTGCAGTGGTGCATACAAAAGGACACCAAAAAGATGATACTAGAGAAATAAAGGGGAACTTGGCAGATATAACTGCAAAGAGGGCCAAAGTGGAGAATTCAGAAAAGATCCTCAAACTAAATGAAATAGGAGATGAGAATGATGATGATGATAGAGGAAAGGAGGAGATCCCTATATTTAATGAAAAAGAACAAGAAGAGTTACTAAAACATGGTGCAGACCAAAATGAAAAAGGAGAATGGAGGATGCCAGAAGGTAGACAAGTATTAAACAAAGCATTAACTAGGAAAATATTAGAGGACCTACATGTCTCAACCCATCGGCGCACTCAGGCATTGTGCGATCATTTTATGAGAACTTATGTATGTATCGGGGTATGGGAAATCGCCAAAATAATAACCAGAGAATGTATGATATGCCAGAAGATAAAGAGAAAAGTAATGAGAAAATTACCTCAAGGGGGAAGCGAGTTAGCAAAAGGACCATTTCAATGTATACAAACAGACTTCATGGAATTACCAGAGGTACAAAGGTATAAGTATTTACTAGTAATGATAGACCATCTAACTCATTGGGTGCAGGTATATCCAACAACGAAAGGAATTGCAGAGACTGTAAGCAAAATTTTATTACAACAAATCATACCCCGATATGGAATAATTAATACTATTGACTCCAATAGAGGTCCTCATTTTACAGCTAAGATATTACAACAACTAATGAATGCTCTAAATATCCTCTGGAAATTTCATACTCCATGGAGACCCCAAAGTTCTGGGAGGGTAGAAAGAATGAATCACATTCTTAAGATAACTCTTACAAAATTAACAGAAGCAACAAAGAAGAATTGGTTGAAATGTCTCCCTCTGGCACTAATGAGGATAAGGACTAAACCAAGGGCAAATATAGGAGTGTCACCATATGAAATGATGTTTTGTTTACCATTCTTAACAACTTCAGGAAATGTGAGAACATATGAAGAAGGAGAATGGGGTGTGAGAAAATATATCAAGACTACAACCTGCACTTTAGAAGAATTAAGGGATATCTTCCTCAAACTACTCCCACACATTACAACCTGGTGACTGCGTATTAATCAAGACCTGGAGAGAACAACCATTAATCCCAAAGTGGGAAGGTCCATTCCAAGTTTTACTGATCACCGAAACAGCTATTCGAACACAGGAACAGGATGGACACTTGTCACCAAAGTGAAAGGGCCAGTTTCAGCACCCGAGGGGCTATCTCTGACCTCAGCTAAGTAACACCAAGCTGATTCTAAGGAAGAAGACCTCAGAAACATCATAGAAGACACATAAATTATGAGTTATAATGGAACTTTGTTAGATTTATTGTAAAATAACTAATTGAAAGTTTGTAACTTTTTTTTTCTCTATTTAGAGGGGGTGAAATGATATGAGTTGTCAAGGAAGTGTTTTAATCTTTGGTATTTTTTAATACAGACCGTGAGATCCAGAAAAAGATAGAGCATTCTCCCACGCATCTAGCAATCTGCCCCTAAAAGACGGAAGAAACAGGTTGATACAAAAGGAAAGGTAGACTCCTGCAGCAGTAATTGGTAAGAACCTCACCGAAATAAACAAGAAAAGCGGGGGGCAAGACTGGATCAGGTTATATTCTTACCACAGAGTCGCTGACCCTCTGTGGAGGGGAGACATGGTTGGGAGAGTAGCCTGTACCGGACCCCCACTGCTGTTTGAGAAATGCCACCATCCTCTGTATGCAGGAGATTCTTGGACTGCTGTCCTTAGAACCCGCACGAATCCGAGTCCCAATTGCTTCAGCTTTTTGTCATTCACCACCTCTATAGAAGATGGAAAAACATATTGGCTGTATGAAAATATAGGGAATTTCAAACAGAAGTTAATGGGGGAATGCCCTATGAAAGAAAAATTTCAGGAAGGAGACTGAAGGAAAGATAAGACATGGGGTTTATGAACCATGTTTAATGAAAGAAAGCTGCTACTACAAGAAAATGGAGTGGAAATAGCCGAGAACTCAGAGATTGCCAAGTCAGCCCCTGAGATGCACAAGCAATACCAGAAATTGAGACAACTCTACACCACTGAAGAAGAAATTAATTAAGAAACTGTTGGACATGCTGATGCGGGCTAAAGCCCGATCAAAGTTTTAGAGGGGGGAGTTGTTATAAATGGTGTTCAAACTGTGTTGAATTGGAATTGCTGTTTTGGGGTGATTTGATGGGTGTTTGTTGTGGGTCCTGGGGAGGGGAGGTCCAGGGTTTGGTGGGGGTGATAGTTGAAGGGGGGCGGGAGGTTATTGGACAGGGGACTTGACCAATCATTCGATGACCCAAGAAAATGATTGGTCCAAAATGAATATCAACAAGGACCAATGAGAACACGGGAAAACAATCAATCAACGTGCAGATCCAAAACCCACCAATCCTGGACCAGAGAGAGGTTATAAAGTGAGGGTTTCGGTTGGGCTTGGGGTTCTTCTTCTTCTGAGGGACCAACTTCTGGGGGAGAACCCAGCGTGCTTGGGACACGTTATCTTCAGTTTGTTGCATGGGAGTTTGGGCTTATGTCAAACTCCCCGTCCTCTGTAGTTTGTTTTAATAAACAAGAGCCTTTTTCCCTCTCAAAATCTGGCCTTGTTCGAACTCATAACACCCCAGTCTTCTGCATCTCGCTTGACTGCCCCCATGCCTCCCCATTTCCCCCTGCATCCACTCCCTAACCACTCCATGTACCCCCAACCCCTTCCATGTCCCATCTGATCCTTCCCTACCCACCTCCAATCCTTCCTGTCCCCCCATCCTCCATGTCCCTCTTGTGCATCCCCTGATTCCCCTATATCCCCCCTGCCCACCCATTTCCTCACACCCCCTCATTCTGCCCTCCATACCCTCCTCCTGTCCCCCAGTCTCCTCCTGACCCTGCAATGACTCCACTGAACCTCCCAGGTCCTCCCCTTATCTTCCTGTGTCCCACCCTCCACGTGCCATCCCAAACTCACTCATGTTCCCCCCCATTTCCCCTTTGCCCTCCCATATCTCTCCCTGCCTCTCCCAGCCCCCCATCCGTGTCCTCCCCTGACCACCCTCTGTCCCCTCTCTGTTCCCCCAGGTCACCCCCTGTCGCGCATCCCGGCTGGATGGTGATGGGGGGGGGCAGGCTACAGTCCCCCTCTTTTGGGCTCCGCACTATGCCAGCTACCAGTGGAGGCGCAGCGTGGAACAAAAGGGCCACAGCACGGGCCTGGGGTAGAACTCCAGGTAACGTTTTTAGATGGCAAAATCCCCCTCCCCAAGGTCCCAGGACCGCAAACTGGGGGCAAACAACAGCTTATAAAGGGGGCCAGGTCTCAGGGGAGGATACAATCTCTAGCTAATCAGAAGAATTGGGGGTGGAACACAAGGTGGGGAATACAAGGTATATAAACCAATGAAGGACTTCAAGGGAAGGGAACAGTTTGGGTTAGGTGGGGTTAACAACACGATGGGAGGGGACAGGGGTTTGAAATTTGGCCAGAAAATAGCTAAGTAAAAAACAAATAAACCCACATCTGGCTCAATAAAATAACAAAGGCAGATCTCTGTCCCTGAACCCTGAACAAGGGTTCTGAACCCTAGTCGCTAATATCCTCATTCTAACCTTAGTAGGCAGTCAGCCGGTAGAACACCCATTCATCATCATGGGCCAACTAGCCTCATTCACCTACTTCACCCTAAAAACAGGGGGAGAAAAAACCCAAAAGGACCACCAAACCTCAAATGAAGCAGTAAACATGCCAAATAGAAAACATACTACAACAACCCCCAGTTCTTCAACCAGCTTTTCTCGGGGCTGGACCACCACATCCTGGCTGGCCGATTCCGCACCGAAACCCTCAACACGAGCCCGTGAGCCCCCGACACTCCCAAAGGGGAGCTGGCGCGTGGGGACACCTCTCAAAAACCTGCCATGACCCTCCCCTGCCCCAGATCCACCTGCAAGGAGCCCCTGGTGCTGATGGAGGGGGAGGTGCTGGCAGGAGGATTTTGGGCTGCTCAAGGTTGGAGGGAGAGTTTTGGGTGTGTTGAGGAGCCCAGATGAGAAAGGACCTGCCAAAACCCTGTGCTGACTGCCCTGATCTAGCCCCCAGTGTTGGTGCTGATGGAGGGGGGCTTCTGCGGGGAGGGTTTTGGGGTGCTGAGGCTCTGGGGAAGTTGTTTGGGGTTCTGAGGTTTCAGGGGGAGGGGAGCCCCCCGACTGCTGCTGGGCCCTTCCAGGTACACATACGAAGTGGCCCCAGTGCTGGTGCTGATGGAGGAGCAGGTCCTGGCCAAGCTCCGGGAGCTCGTGGGGTGGAGCAGCGGCGATGGCATCTTCGCTCCCGGTATTCCGGACCCTTCCCGAGGGGTATCCCTGTCCCCCCTCTGCCCCTGGCAGCCTGTCCATGGTGCCCTGGGGGTGAAACGGAGGTCCCTGTCCTGGGCAGGGGGCTCTATGTCCAACATGTTGGCCATGAACGTGGCACGATTCCGGCGTTTCCCGGAGAGCCGCAGCAGAGGGAACTGGGACCTGCCTCGCCTGGGCCTGTTTGCATCCCAGGAGGTGGGACTGGGGGCTCGAGGTCACCCCAAAACCTAATCCTCAGAGTCATCCCAATTCTAATCCATGGGGTCATTCCAAACACTATTCCTGTGGTCACCCAAAACCTGATTCCTGGAGTCATCCAAATGTGGTCCCCTGAGGTCACACTAAACCTGATTCCCTGGGTCACTCCAAATCTCATCCCTGGGACCGCCAAAAAAACATGATCCAGGGGCTCACCTGGGGTCATCCCAAAACCTGATCCTGGTGTCACCCCAAAGCTGATCCTTGGAGGTTGCCCTAAACCTGATCCATGGGGTCACTCCAAAACCTGATTCCTGGAGTGGCCCCCTGAGGTCACACCAAACCTGATTCCCTGGGTCACTCCAAATCTCATCCCTGGGACCCCCACAAAACATGATCCAGAGGCTCACCTGGGGTCATCCCAAAACCTGATCCATGGGGTCACTCCAAAACCTGGTGTCACTGAGGTTACCCCAAAACCTGGCCTGTGGGGTCACCCCAAGTCTGGTCCCTGAGATTACCCAAAATCTGGGGTTACCCCCAGTCTTGTCACTGAGGTGACCCCAGATCTGATTCCTGGGGTCCCCCAATCCCAGTCTTGTTTTCCTGCCCAGAGCCATTACTCCATCCTAAAAGGAGCTGCTCTCCTGGGAATTGGCACCGACAATGTTCACCTGGTGCGGACAGATGAGAGGTGAGTGCTGGGAGGTCCCGAGGGACCCCAGGTCAGGGGATTCCTGCATGTATCCATCCCTATCCCTTCCCTTCAGGGGGAAGATGATCCCGGAAGAGCTGGAGAAGGAGATCCAGAGAGTGAAAGCTGAGGTCAGGAGAGCCTGCACACCTCAAAGGCCCTCAAACTCCCCAATGCCTCTGCAGTATCCCCAGCGGCCTTCCCAGTGTTCCCAAAGCTCCCTCAAAGTCTGTGTGTCCCCCTCTAAGTCCCCAAAGCCTCTTCAGTGTTCCCAAAGCCATTCCCATGTCCACAAACCACCCTCCATGTCCCCCAATGTCTCCTCAAATCTCCCCAATGTCCCCCCAAAAACCCTGAATGTCTTCCAATGTCCCCCCACTGTCTCTTCAATTCTTCAATGCATCCAATGTCCCCTGTCCTCCCCAGACCTCCTGCCCTCCCTTAAAGTCAGTTGCCTGTCTGCCCCAAATCCCTCTGTAGCCCATTTCCTGCACTCCCAATGTCCCCCTGTATCCTCCAGCCCCCCACAGCTTTCCTCCTGAGCCCCCTCAAAGTCCCCCCAAATGCCCACCCAGGGCTCAGAGCCCCTTGTTTTTCTCTGCCACCAACTTGGTCACCTTTGACTCCCTGCGCTACCCTGCCCTCTACCGCCTTCCATGCCCCAGCACCATCCAATACCCCCAGACCCCTCCCTAATCCCCCCCAGGGCTCGGAGCCCCTCTTTGTGTGTGCCACGAGTGGCACCACTGTCCTGGGCGCCTTCGACCCGCTGGACGCCATCGCTGACGTCTGTGCCCGCCACGGGCTGTGGCTGCATGTGGACGTGAGTTTGGGGTGCTTGGCTGGGGGGGGCTTGGGGGTCCCCCTGTGCGTGCTGATCCCCCTTTTCCTGCAGGCAGCATGGGGGGGCAGCGCCCTCCTGTCCCCCCGACTCCGTCATCTCCTTGCTGGCATCCACAGGTGTTGTCCCTCCCCCTACCCCCGCAAAAAACTCCCACCTGCCCTCTGAGCTTTTGGGCATACCCTTTTTCCCCAGAGGGCCCCCCCAAACTCTGCTGTTCCCCCCCACCAGAGCTGACTCAGTGACCTGGAACCCCCACAAGCTGTTGATGGTGGGATTGCAGTGCTCGGCATTCCTGCTCCGTGACAGCTCCGTAGGTGCCCCCCATCCTGAATTTGTGCCCCTAGGATGCCTCCTGGGCCCCCTCATTAATTTTGGTGCCCCCTGCCCATCCCAGGGGCTCCTGCAGCGCTGCCATGGCGTGGGGGCCTCGTACCTGTTCCAGCGGGACAAGTTCTACGACGTGTCCCTGGACACAGGGGACAAGAGCCCCCAGTGTGGCCGCCGCGCCGACGGCCTCAAGCTCTGGATCCTCTGGAAAGCCGTGGGGACCCGGGGGCTGGCACAGCGTGTGGAGCGGGCGTTCGCTGCCTCTCGGTGAGCCCCAGGATCAGGGGGAACCCTCCACCCTCCCAAACTTGGCTTCACCCCTTTGCTCTCCCCAGGTATCTGTTGGAGCAGGTGAAGAGGAGGGAGGGATTCCAGCTGGTGATGGAGGTAAGGGTGATGGTGGAATGGAGGATGGGGGATATGGACACCTAAGAGTCCTGGAGGTTGGAATGCCA